AGCTGCTACTGATCACAGCTTTATGAACAGACTTTTGAGATCTTTCCTGCAAAATCCAGTTAGCTTGGCCAATGGGTTCACTGTATATTATTACAGGACATCAGCTTCTCCCCGCCCCCCTTAATTACTGTTCTTATAGACATTACCTCAATTTGTTCATAGACATGAATAGGATCACTAATTCCTCTGTAGTTAAAGGCAAAGTAGAAGTAGACACATGCACCTGCATCATAAGTCTGTGTCACCCTGTTGAAGAGAACTACATTACAAACAAAGCTTTATGGTATTTAGCCAGCCACTATGTGACATTACACAATTCATAACATTACTTATCTTCTTTAAAAGGGTAGCATCTTTTTAAAATAGTTTTGTATCCTTTTTGCTCATACTTCATGAGTGACTCAATGCTATGACAGAGTTGAAGCTCTTAAAGAAGTCATTACACTTGACTCTTGTGCATATAAGCAAGAGTAAGTGTCAAGACTAACCAAGTGCTACTAATCCCTTGAATTACTCACTCTCACATGTAATCCACTTGCAGGTTAAAAGAGGAAGGTGAAGATTACAAGTGTTTGTAGTATCATTAATAGATGCACTTTACCTACTAGCTAGCAAGTTTAATGACCTCTTCCTTAGGTCTCTTACTAATCAAAAGATTCAAGACAGATTATTTAAGTTGTTGCATGGCTTACCTGCAGGTGGAAAGAGGAGCAAACTGAACGCCCCTTTCTTTGCATTCTCTTACTATCCTTTCCTTGACATTCCTACAAAGGTCCAAAACCCTGTAACAGAAAACACATTAAAATATAAAATCTTAGTATATGATTTTATACAACTTCCTAAAAAACACAGCTGCAGCTTTAATAATTTTAAAAAGTATAATTTAATAAAATAGAAGATTGCCTTCTAGAACAAGTTTTAAGTAGCTTAGATTTTGTTCTAAGACTAAAATAATCCTCATCATCAAGACTTCACTAGTATTGCTTTTTCTGCACTTCTCCTGAATAGCAAGTTTACTCTGAAGCACAGTATGTAATGAAAGCTCTTCCCATAAGGACTAGGAGTCAAAAGTGTTCAACAGAAAATGGAGGTTACCCACTTCTGTATGTCTTTACTTACTTTCTCAGGAAAACAGCCCCAAATTTTTGGCAAAGTAGTTGACAAATACAGCTCACAGTAGAAAGCTTGAGAACTCTAAGGCCTTGTATACTCCGCTAATACCATACCTTTGGTATGTTGCAAGGCCAAAACTGGAGGTAGTCCAGCTATGTACTAGTTTGCCAGCTTGAAATGTTATAATTCTAATATGGCAATGAGCTATTAAGTCTTGTCATGAGCCATACTTGTTTTGCTTTTATTATTTTTTTTTCTTCCAGGGCAGACCCAGGTGCATCCAAAGTGCTAGAAAAACTGAAAGAAATCACTGTTTTTCAAATGACCATTTCTTTAGTTTTAAGTTCTCCCACAAAGGTCTGCAGTGGTATACTATATAATTCAGATTTTTAAGACATTTTACACAGATTTAAAGTGACTTTGCAGATTGACAGAAGTAATACACAAGAGAAATTTATCCATTTAGTGAATAAGCAAGGTAAATATTTTATTCAACTATCTTTAACCAGTCAGGAACAAGGTAACTGACTGATTTATGGAAAATTACATAGTTCTTATGAGTCAAAGTAGAAAAAGTTTTTGAAAGCATTTGCTTTGGTGAGAACAATTGCAAATATTTTCTTAAATTCCCAGATAAAGAGTCATTCTCTCCTGAAATGAAGGAGAGGCAAAACAAATCGGTGACTAAGCAGTTAGCATACTTCAAGATCTATAAAGCTAAAGTAAAATAAAGAACAATTTTGCTTTAAAATTGTCCTCAAACTTCTGCCACCCATTTAAGATACTATGCCAGTCTTCGAAGCAGAGGCTGGAACTTACCACTGCCACTAAATTCAATAGCAAGAATATAGGCTTGCCAGCTTAAGTCATCACACTTTGCACACTTTCCACTTGAAATACTGTAAAGCTTTGATTCAAATCACTTTAGATCCTGTGTAACAGGTTTACCAAATGGACAGAAACATCGAAACAATTTCATACATTAAACTCTGTTGTGGCCAAGTGTTTCTCAACCATAGTTAACAGATAAGATAAAAATCTTTTTCCTAAGCTTATCTTGGGAAGAAGTTACCTTTTCAGTTCTTTCATTTCCCTGCATTACTGCGGAAAGGAAAAGTTTATTTAATTTATCTTCACTACAAACTTTTCTGTTTGAAATACACTGCTGATCCCACACATGTGGCTGCTCATCACGCAATACAGTTATCACCATTGTCCAGCTTCCTAAACTGGGTAATTTCAAGTTCTGAATTTGTTACAGTAAGCTAACCCAAGTAGAAATATTACTGAATGCTTGCCTACACTGCATTTACAAAATCCTGATATGCAATTTGCTAGCAACTTTAGCAAAAACACACAGGTGCAAGACTTGAGGCACATCAGGGAGCCTCCAATACACATAAGGCCTAAATTAAATTAACTTTCCCCATGAGCAAGCAAGAGTTAGAAATAATTTGAATGAAATCAAGTACAAGTTTTAAGCAATTCTAAAGAATAATCACAGTTTACCTATCCCAAGGAACAGATGTCTCAAATGATTCTCCTATTACATAGTAATCCAGGCCCAGGTCCTAATAAATAGAGAAAGGAAATTATCAGTAACATTCAGCATCAACATCTGGGATTGCAGTGTATGCTACACAGCCAACAGTGGAGCAACTTTAGTTAGTTTGTATGAGAAAACCAGAAAGTCTATTTAGCAAAAACATCCATCTGTCCCAGTGACATTAGTTTATAATTATGGAAATAGAGCAGCTCTTCGAAAACACAGATAACAAACCTTTTGATGTCATGGCTATAGTGAGACAACTTGTCAGACTGTCATATGCTTACATTAATCAAATACTTGTATCACTATAGCATCCAGCCAAGAGTTTCACTGTGTTAACCAATATAATACCTACTAGAAATACATATTTGGAACGTAATCCCTATCTAGGTAGAATAAAGACCCATTTTACATATAGCCTGCTGAAATAAAGGGAAATTCAGTGATTTGTCCCTGACTATAAAAGCCAAATAAAGTTTAGCACTCAGGATGTGAATACTATTCTGAAAAAAAATATCTCTTAAACAGGAAGACTAAAATTCATAAGAACAACTGCCACAGTTCAGACTAAAGGTCCATTTGTCCTAGAATTCTGATTCAAACCATAAGCAGATGTCCAAAGAAGAGCAAGAGATGAGTGAGCACATGAGTATTTCAAGTATTTTTCCAGCCTTTGATTATATTTAACCTGTAGATTTATAAGTCTGATCAGGTTTATTTAGCAACTACTAGTGGGTTCTTCAATCTAGTTTTCTATACTCTTTATTAGAAACTATTTTCTTAACAAGCGCATAAATTAATGTTTTTATGGTGTTTTGCAGATGAAGTTCCATGAGTAAACACTAGTCAAAAATGGAAGAGATACAACCTCTGCGAGAAATTTGAGATATCACCCAAGGCAACCTGGATTTAGATTTCAGAGAAAGCATCTTCAAAAAGAACATCTCTATGTTTTATTATATTAATTAACAGAAGTTTCAGCAGGCAGACAAAAGGTGACATACCCGAATGTAAGCGATGACAAATGTCAGCATATATCCTCTCTGTCCATTATCTTCTCCTGCTGCCAAGCCACTGCAATTAACAAGAATTTCATTAACTTTCCAGCAAAGTAGTCACTGGTTTCTAAAAAGAATTAAAAAATACTTTGATTATCAAACATATGTGCAAGTTTAGCTGTCTCTAAGCTGTGTTACACTAGTTGCAAATAGTAGGGTCTTTTCTTCACTAGAAAAGAGAAGTTACTTCAGACCACACTTTTAACTCTTTGCATTTCTCTTTTCATTCCATAATCTGAAGAGATGAACAATAACAAAACATTTGATGCGATCTTAAAGTAACAGTCTTCAAACATCACAAAAGAGCAGGGCAAAGAGAACTAGACATAGTATGCCCTTGATGTTCATTTACAGGAGTACGTGCAACTACATTTCTAAGCATGTTGGATTTGTGTACTTGTATGCTCACGGGTCGTGGTGACAGCAAGATCCCAAAAGTGTAAGTGATGTGAATGGATAAAAAGACACACAGCACTAAAAAGAAAACGGAAGCCTTGCTCTCACTAATCTATCAGGTTACGACCATTATGAATGTCTTTGTTTTTAACTACCGGTTTCTGATAACAAGAAAGTGCTAGGCATCTGTAATCAGGCTTTCTAGAAACTCCTATAAATCCGAGAGAAGTGTATCCGCGGAGAAAAAGAGTCAGACATCCTGAAGGACAGAATTAAAGCATTTTAGACCATTAAGACGGTTTAGCATTTTAAACCAGGTTAAACTATTAAACGCTTAACTAATAGCCTTAACTGAGCAACACAGACAGCACCATCTTCTAACAGACCTAACACAGGCAAGTTTCACCCCTCCTTATCAATCATCTTGAAATACCAAAATACAAAAGGATTCACAGTTGAAGCTTTTTCTGGCATACAACATTAAAATAACTAAAATGCTCTTTAAGATCAAGAGCAATGTTATTCTTATCACTGAATGTTAGCAAATTGCTCACGTGAGATCCCACTTTTGTAAGTTATTTTAAGTGGTAGAATGAAAGCACAATGAAAACACAAATTTCAGAAAGGATAGCCTTGAAATGGATAAAACAATACTTATGTATTGTATTATGTATTGAATAGTGAGACTAATACTAGCAATAACTTTCTTAAAAAGAAAAAAGTATATTCTTGACAAATCACACTTCTAATGATGGTTTTCATTAATAACACTTAATCAAAGCAAAAGGACAGAAACTACCTGATCATTACTCAGCCTGCCACTCCAATGAATGTTTTCTGCTCCTTTGTAAGGATAGAAAACAGTCTGTGGGACAGAAATTCACTGCATTCATTTAACTAAATACAAACTCCTCTTTTAAACAAGCTTCTTGTATTCATATGCTCACATCAATTCTGCAAAGATTTAATATTATCCTTATGATTTTGCCTTCCCCTTCTGTAGTTAAAATAGAGTCTAGTATTGCAAAACAAGAAGCTTCCATGCCTATAAGCAATTACAAGGGCTAGTCTCCATTTTAATAACACCAAGTCTATATTTAGTCAAACACTTATTCTTCTGCAATAGACAGACAGCTGAAGTTTCAGTAGTTACCTATTAAGAGGTAGCACAAGCCATATTTATCAAAGGGAACATTCAGTAGCTAATTGATTATTGCCACTTCAAACTAGTAAACCGAGAACGTATCCATACAGTAATCACTATAAAAATATGGTAATCCTGTTTTTTCCTAGACAGTTAACTCCCAGCTTCATATGAAAAAGTTCTTTGAAAAGCATACCCAAACTTGGTGGCAATATCATAGACTTGCTTCTCATGCTGAAGAACCTTCTCTCTGTCACCCTCAAAGAGCAAGGTAGCTACACACAGTATGTTGGGATCAAATCCTTTAAACTGCAAAGAGAGAAAACTTTGCATTATATCACAGCTTATGTGGTAGAATACAAGCAACAAATTTTTACTTTTCAAATACACAGCATGTGCTCTTGTTAGTAAGTGTTGTTGCAACTAAGAGGAAAGATTAGGAAAAAAAACATCTTGCAAAAATTTACTCCCAAAACAACCAAGGTTTTTCCTTGACAGGACAAACATTCACAAGCCCACTGAAATAACAGATTATCTCTGTCACCTTTTTTCTCCTGTTAAAAAGCAGGATAGACATAACAGCTGTCTACCTACGCTGAAGAGAGAACAGGTCTTAAATGCTTTGAGCAACAGGGAGACATTTATATTCTGTCAACTATTCCTGTATTAAAGCAGGAAGATCACTATGATGACCATAAATGTCACTGCTCTCAAAATGGTTTATCAGCAGTGTGCCACAGAAAATCTCTATGCTGGGAAAAGCACTATGGAAGGAAAATAACTTCTAGCAGGGAACATATTCCAGTGGAAATGGGGAGAAAACTATTGTCGTGGCTTAACCCCAGTCGGCAACAAAGCACCACACAGCCGCTCGCTCACCCTCCCGCCCTGGTGACATGGGAGAGAGAATCTGAAGGGCAAAAGTGAGAAGACTCATGGGTTGAGATAAGAACAGTTTAATAATTGAAATAAAATATAATAATAATAAAAATAAACTGTAATGAAAAGGAAAGCAACAAGAGAGAGGAACAAACCCCAGGAAAAAAAGTGATACAGCCGCTCACCACCCACTGACTGATGCCCAGCCCATCCCCAAGCAGCGATTGCTGCCCCCCAGCCAACTGCCCTCAGCTTATACACTGAGCATGATATCTGGTATGGAATAGCCCTTTGGCCAGTCTGGGTCAGCTGTCCTGGCTGTACCCCCTCCCAGCTTCTTGTGCACCTGGCAGAACGTGGGAAGCTGAAAAGTCCTTGACTGGTGTAAGCACTACTTAGCAATGACTAAAACATCAGTGTGTTATCAACATTATTCTCATGCTAAATCCAAAACACAGCACTCTACCAGCTACTAGGAAGAAAATTAACTCTACCCCAGCTGAAACCAGGACAACTATTAAAGGTTTAATAGTAATACAGTGAGGCTGCCCACATGGCTCTGTTTCAGGAGTAACAGTCAAGAGCCATATCTTCGCAACTGGTCCAAAAAGCAAGAGCCTTACTTGTTTTCTACATACCTTTTTATTATTAATTAGCTCCAGTGAACTACCACTACTAAGCAGGTTTCAGAAGGAATAGAGATGTATATTAAGTTGCAATAAAGTTTAATACTTTTTCTGCAGTTAAAAAGGGTAAAAATTTATTATTTAGAACAATGTATTCTTATTATGTATATTGACTGCAATTATTTTTTTAAAGCCTTTCCCTTTCCAGTGGCATTCATCTCTTCCAGTCTCTGCTCTGCTTGTGGTAACTTGTTACTTAAGCACCAAGCAATGTTATATGAAGTTACATTATAGTCAAGAGATTCAAATTCATCCTTTATGCACAACAGCTATGCTGAGAAAAATCCCAGTTAGTTGCTATTCCTTTTATTATTCCCTTAACTGAACAGATTAACTGTACTGGAACTTAACTGAAGGTACCAGGAGGGTCAAAAAAAAAGCAGCAAGAAGGCAAGGTATCTTGGGGTGGCTCAGTCCTCCAGCCAATGAGCTCAAATCTGTATGGTGAGCCCCAGTCAGAGAAATCCAAATTAGTATTTCTGAAAAGGATATTGCATCCTACCACCCCGACAAAACACCACCGTGAAAACCACTGCAAAACAGAATATACCTCCCCAGTCAAAGGATCTGTCTTATCCATTAGTGCTACAAACAGAGCATAGCTAACAAATAGAAAGAATATTGTTACTACAGTGATAAACTCTAAGGACATGAATAAAGGTCTATTAAGATGTTATTTATGGTCCCTTCTTGTTCTAGAACCACTTGTATTTCATGTAGTATGAATCCTTTCGTCTGTTCTGCCATCTTTGTGCTGTAATGCTCAGGTTAACACCTTACAGTTGTCTTTAAGAGGCACTGGAGGAACTAGCTACAGTGTGAACTAGTAGACAAACAATACTTAGAGCATTCATGTGTCAGTCAACAGTCCCAAACAACATGGAGGAGTTAACCAGAAAGACTTTGTCCCTGTTCTCTTAAGTGGTATCAGTTAAATGACTACTCCATTCAATAAAAGAACGAAGTGTTAGCCTGATCTGTTCTGGGGTTTTTTTGGTGGTTTGTTTTTGGTTTGTTTGTTTTTTGGGGGTTTTTTTTGGTTTTTTGTTTTTTTGGGGTTTTTTTGACAGGGAGCAATTCACAGATGAATTAAGTATAAGATGAACTTGAGTATCTTGGTCCCAGTAACACCTGCAATATCAGTCTCAGGGTCATTGAACTTGCTCCTTTCTCTACTCCTACCTCCCATCCCAGCTGGGAGTTTCTCTGAAGTAGCAGTTGCTCATACACACCGGGGGACTGAGCCCTGACATAAGAGCTCCAGATTGGTCACCAACCTGGAATCTCTGCATCAGTATTGCATAGCATTCCTCTCATTTCTCCACATGTTCTCTCCTGCAGAGCTGGAAGAATTGGAATTGGCATACAACATCCCTTGGTGATACAACATCCCAAGAAGCAGTGATGCTTGTTGCTGACTACAGAAGCAGTAGATATTGCCAGCTAGGATTGTTTCAAACTGACAGCAATCTTGCTGCCAAAATCTTCACTACTATAGATATTCCTGCACTACAGCAGATCAGAGAGGGAAAGCAAAATAATTTTGGGGCTATCTCTAAACTTAATGGGACTTCTTTTGCTAGGGAATACCTAAGACACATGGCATTTTCTACTTCAGTAGCACAAGAAAAAGCAGCAGAATCAACACTGGCCACTGTCTCTCAAGTAAGCCCACTCCTTGAAGACACTCAATATTATCAGATCAGAATGGAATGTTTACCTCCTCCTATTTAACTGTTATCTAAAACAAGGACAATGCAATTTTCTACATTTGAATACCCATATTTGCAGGAACTCTCTAGTTAGCTAATTTGGAGGAAAAATCAGTAACAGGACAAATTCTTTAATATAAAAGCTTAGGTGAAATCATTTTAGCACCAGATAATTCTGGATTAAAAAGGGTATTCATTGGGATGAATTCCAGAAAGACCAAAAAAAAAAAAAAATCAATTTACACAGGCAATTCAAGACAAAAATCTTGAGGTTCTCTCAAAATTCTACTTTCACTGTAATAAGAAGGTAGATTATGCCTTGAGAAAATCTGGGAAGAGGAAAAGATAGTGAAGTGTTAGCCTTGCTCCATCAGTATTAACTGATGATCAGTGGTTTGTAAGCTAGATAAATTGGTTCCAGTCTTGCTCTGTCACTGAGTCATTGTTAGACAAGGCACATTAATCTCATCTACAGATGTGATCAGTGAGAACAGCTCTCATGGAATAACTCCTCAAACAGATAATCTCATTTTGGATTAGACCATCCAGAGAATCTCTAGTTAACTGATACTACAATGTAGGATCTGTTATACTCAAACTGAGCTGCATTAGAGACAGTATACCAAAAAATCTTGAATTTTATGAATAGCATGCAACTTCCACACAGTATTACACCCCCAAAATTACCTTTGTGATGTAGAATTTTTTCAGTCCATCCAAAAATGACGTAAAAATGGAAGCAACTTGTGGTTTAAGAGCATGACCTTTGGCAAAGAGTGGAAAAAGGTGTGTTAAGGCAAACAGTGCTCTTAAAATTCCTACTTCAAAGGGCAAATAAAAAAATAGCTTGGTAGTCAAAGTTGCAAGAATCACTTGGAGCACTTTGATTATCATCATTAAAGAGACTTCTCTCTAATCATTTAGAAGATGATTCAGGAATGGGTTTTTATGAAATTTTTTTAAAAGGTATACATACAACTGTGCACAAATATTTCATTTGACACTAATTAAGGCTGCCCTAGTTTATATCTTCACAAGTATATGGTACCTGGAAAATTTTAAAAGAGCACTTCATTAGTTTTTACACTACAAAACCAAGCAAGATCAGTAAACTTTTTTAAAGTTATGCCAAAACCACTGAAACCAATAGCCAAAAATGGTGCAAGTTAGGAGTTAAGCAATTTTTTCCTTAACGGTTATGTCATTTGTGCAAAATTTTCTACATAAAGCTAGTAATTGCTTCCTTAATCACATACAGGGAACCAAAATTACCAGGATATATAAATGGTGTCTTGGAGTCTGTTAAATTAACATCTCTGCCTCAGGACTGGGTTTAATTGAGATGAAAGTCTTTTACTGTTTGTTCCATTGTTTTCAGTCACAAGCAACTTCTAAAATCCCATTACTGCTTCACTTTAACAGTCTTGCATCTGGCCTACGTGCTGTGAGCCCAATTCATAAAAAAAGTTATGCACCATTTACATGATACTTCCTTCTAAAATACTTCACAAAGTATTTCCTCCTGAATAAAGCATGAACTTCAGCAATTGGTTAGTCTCCTTCCCTCTTCATTAAGAGGAACTCTCCCTGCAGATATGAACAAACCAAGGAGTACACCTCCAAGCACACTTAAGTAAGCACACAAAAAAGCACCAGATAACAAAAAGGACATGAATTTATTAAACCATATTTATTATTTAATAATTTATTTTTATTAATAAATTATAATTTATTAAATATTTATTTGTAAAAACTATTGGATTTAAGCCTACTTAATAATGACTACAAGAAAAAATTTGTATTGACACACCTGAAACTATGTTTTGCAGGTGACCATATAAGCTGCAACCTCAGAACAAAGCTAAAAAAGTAAAAGAATGATTTATTCAGTGTTGGGTTTAAAACTTGTAATTGATCTAACTTCTTCCCAATTAAAAAGAAAAAGGCATCTGCCTTCTGTTGTACATGTCTGAGAAAAATAGCGTAATAAAAAGAGTGACCAAAGCAAGCAGCAAGGCTTGCTGGGCTCTCAGGTCTTAAAGATCCTGATTTCCTTGGTTTGAAAAACGAAGTTCAACTTCCTCAACACCATCATATTAATGCCATTTGAAGTCATGATTCATCACTGAGGCTTCTATCCACAAGAAGTTTCAGAAATTCTGACTTGTTCAAGTGGTATTAAAATAGAGGTTTTTCAAGGTCAGTCACACTTCACATTTTCATCTTCTGGGTACAATCAAAACAGCATAGCCTCAGCAAGACCTTCAAGTTCTGTAAACTATTAGCTTTTGGGTAGTGGAACTTTAGGTTCTCCTCAAGAGCGTCTTAAACCAGAACGCATCTTTTGCTGAATCTCTTACAGTTTAAAATGACAGCTTTCCCTAAGAAGTACTCAAAAATGATTGCTCTGCATGTCTGACATTGTCTTATTTAGGTGTTTGAACTAGTTGAAATTTCACAAAACCTTTGTGTTCAGTAATCTTCTAGTAGCTTCATTGACTTTCTATACTTAAACCCTACAGCTTAGTTCTATTTGCATACAGTTATGGCATTTACTACATCTGAGCTTCTTTTAAAAATAGACAGCTCACTTTGGACAAGTATGTACGTCATTGCCTCTCTCCCACCCAAACAATCATTGCTACATCAGAATATTTTTCAAAAAACGTGCTACTTCTAGGGAATCTATACACCACACTTGTGATGCTTTTATGAAATTTAAAGGAATCAACTAACTTACCTTCAAAGTAAGGTGCCTGTATTCTTTTTTTTCATACACAACTTCTCATTAGTACTCTTAGCAAGAAAATGTTTCAAGTACTGTACTGCAAAACTATCATGTCTGCTCCTTTACAGTAAAATAGAGGAAGTGCCTCCAGAATTTCAAACTCTCCAGTAGGCTATATGCCAAGAATGGAAAGGTAGCAAAAAAGTCTTATGTATCTATATGCAGAGCATGGCTCTTTACTGACTGTTGTAGTTGATACTGTTTTCCCAGAGACAAAGACAACCTTGTGTTTCTGAAAGTACACATGATGGCACTATCTGGAGTTCAAACTTTGGGTTCATTGTCTTCTTTGTCTAGTTTTGAGCAAAAGAATTACTGCCTAAGACAGACTTAAGCTACTAAAAATCAAAACACTTTGAAACAGATATTCATCCCAAAGGATCTACATACTTACCAAACTGAAACTGTGCATTGTCGACAAGGCGAATTGATGCTGGAGCACATCTCTTTGGGGCAAAGTTAAGGGAACGAAAGGGAGGAAGAATAAAAAGATTATGTACACAGTTTTGCTGAAATTCATGACAATCAAATTTTCATTTGAAAATAGCATACAAGAAAGCACTCTTTGATACTGTCATCATTGAGAAGGGGTGACTATAAGCTCGTTTTCACTTGAATAGCAACATCTATTAGGTATGTCCAGATATAACGCATTGAGAATTTTCAGTTTAACCTCAAGCCAACACAGGAATAGTCCAAAGGTCTTTGGCCTTCAAGTATTAAGTGTTTTTATAAATTGCCATATGCACTAAAGACACCATACTTGATTAGAATATCGAGCTTCTGTTGCTATGTAATCAAAAGATACACATACATTACAAATCCACTGAAAACTCTAATTGCTGTGGGTTAACCCTGGCAGGCAGCTAAGCACTACACAGCTGCTCACTCAGTCCCCATCCTCAGTGGGACAGAGGAGAAAATCAGAAGGGTAAATATGGGAAAACTCATGGGTTGAGATGAAGACAGCTTGATAAGCAAAATGGGAAAAACACCACCAAAAAGTGATGCCAAAGCAATCAATTACCACCAGCCGACCAATATCCAGCCAGTCCTCAAGCAACGGCAACCCTTAGAAAACTCCCCTCTCCAGTTTTATTTCTGACCATGATGTTATATGGTATAGAATATCCCTTTGGTCAATTTGGGTCAGCTGTCCCAACTGCATTCCCTCCCAGCCTCTTGTCCACTCCCAACCTACTTGCTGGTGGGAGGAGAGTGAGAAACAGAGAAAGCCTTGACACTGTGTACACACTGTTCAGCAACAGCTACAACATTGGTGTTAACATTGTTTTGGTCACAAGTACAAAACACCACCACACCGGCTGCTATGAAGAAAATTAACTCCGTCACAGCCAAACCCAGTACACTAATGCTCTACCATCAGACTGCAATTAAAATCTGTACCTGAGTCCAATCTAGATTCTGCACTGTACGGAAATCTGAAAACCAGTAATAGCTGCCTTCAATTAGGCAAGCTTCTGGTCATACATATGCCTACATGATGTAATCTGTGATGACCATGTCCAGTCATACTAAAATGTATGGCCAGAAGAATATGACAAAGCCGGAACTTTAGGCTAGTCTTCATCTAATCATATGGATATGGAAGTACTCCTCTATCACTTGATTTAACATGTTCACCCTCCATCATATCATTAATACATATTTGGTCACACGATAGGAAGAAAGAACATAAAGAAGATAAGCTAGCTCACCAAGCAGGCTGACAGAAGAAGGCTGGATGAGTGGTTTTGAATGAGACCAACCCACCCACAACCTGCAGGTTGGTTATTCTTACATTAAAGTAGACAAATACAGACAAGAAACAGCTTTTCAGATAGCAGTCATTGTAATTACTACCAAGATTGATGCGAGGGGCAACAGAAGACAGGAATAAGTAGAGTTCAGGCTCAAGTAAGCAGTGAAACAGCAGCAGCAGAAGCTTGGAAATGGAGCAACACTAAGTGGCTAATAGTGCCTTTTTTCCCCTCTTCTAACTAAGCCCATAGCTAGGGAAAAGACTAGTTCCTTAATTGACTTAAAATGTTGATCAGTCATATGATTAAGCATTCCCAAACAGTCTGCTTAGGTACCTTTAACAGGAAGAACAAGCACTAGCAGCAGAAGCATGACAGAAGAACTGGCAAGTGCTGCTGACTAGCATATACATGTCATTCACATACCAGTTTGAACATCTGGCTTGGAACATTAAGTCATTAATTTAGACCAATCACTGGAAAAAATGTAAAGCTGCATTTAGTTTGGCATTAAAACATTTGTGAAATTACTTCCCCAATTCAGGGTATATTCCACCATTCATAGAAGTTATTTGATACGTTTTGCACAGAGCAAAGAAAAGTTAGTTTAAGATGATAAAGAAAGAGGCTAGCCAATGTAAGATTTGCTTGGAAGCATAGCCATGAGGAAAAGCGTTACACAATTTGGATACCCATGTCTGAGTTTTGCTACCTGAAACCATCTGACCACACTATTCAGAAGGCTCTGTTTAAACACTACAGTGTAAGCACAATTCCACCTCAAAATATCCAGCTCACCTGAACACGTCACTGTGCTTCAGGAATTGTATTCTAAACACAGGCCATATCCTTCCATTGCATGACTTTTGTTCCTTTGTCACTTCAGAGCCATAAATCCAACTGCCTTTTACTTGTATGTCGCAACTTAATTCCTTTAAATACTGGTCCCTTTTACATAGTCCTGAATTATTCCAAGGATAAAGCTCTCCGTTGAAGGAGATGCAAAGCCAAATTTTCTGTGCTGAGATATGCAAATAACTCCCACTGAAAAAAGGCATCAAAAGGCACATCCACAATTTGGCTCAGAATATCAAGCAAATTCAGAACATGCTCAATCCTCAATTACATAATTTCCAAAAGCCTCATGGACCATATACACTTACAAGGTTCATATTATCTCAAATCCTTGGTTATCAATTGCCAGAAATACTAGAGCATCTAGTGCTAGAATCTGTTCTTGAGTGAAGTCAACATCCAGCTTTTCTTTACCTGCTTTGCCACTTCCCTTAAGCAGGCCACCCCTCGTTCAAAGTTGGGGAAGACCACAGAGCCATACTTCTGGTATTCAGGGACTGGGCGAATCTTTATTGTAACTTCAGTAACCACTCCAAGAGTTCCTTCAGGAAAAAAGAAAAACCTAAGTACAATGTTGCAAGACGTACTTCTTGCAAGTTATCCAACTTAACAACTGTTTACCAAGATGTTTTAAAGTTGACATAAATCAGAAATCCCAAAAATTCAGTATTGCAGTAGTAGGCGATTTATTCCTGACTATTTACGTGGTGAATTCTTACAAGATATCCTCTAAATCATTATGTTTGTTACTAGACTTATAGGCTAACTCCACAGATCTGTTTTAAGCACTGTTCAGAGTTGCTTAACTTCACAGTCCTAATTAAGGTCTCAGTGTATTATCCTAACACAAGAAATTCATGCCTGTATAATGCCACCCATAGGCACACTGGAAGCCACAGCATTAAAGATGTTCAAATCATCAAGCCATTACAGAAGCTGAATTAAGATGCAGTTATGTGAAATTACTGTGTTTATACCTTCAGATCCCATAATGAAGTGATGGATATCAGGTCCTGTTGACATGCGAGGTACTTGACAGTTTTTTTCTACTATTCCTCTAGGAGTTACCATTTTTATATGAATCACCTGTTTAAACAATATGCAATAACTATAAATACTAGCATTAAGAACAGATTTTTTTTAATGATATTTATTTTCTACAAAATGTATATTAAGCTTGATACAGTTCAGCTTTGTAGACTTTACACATTCTGTAGGCAGCTCCAAGAACTTTTGGGATAACCTGAGGACTGTTACCAACAATTATTTCTAACACAGCATGGTTTGTCCACACAACAGATTGTTTCCAGTTCTATGCCAAATCAAATCAGCTGCTGGCTACATGCAGACAGCACCAGTTAAAACCGTTTTGTTTCTCAGTGTAGACAGTACTTTATGAGTTTTTCTGGATTTTAATCCAGAATATACATAGTACTTCAGAGCAAAAAAGTGAGGATTTAAATTTTGCTTACATTTTTTGCTTTAGAACTGCTGCTTGATAAAGCTAATATAATTCAGTCATCAGTTGCTACAAAAATACTTCTATTAGGAAGAAAGACAGAAGTAAGCTCTGTGAAATAGATTATCAATATTAAATCTGCCATAAGACTGATACATATATGTCAGGCTAGAAGGTTGGTTTTTTAAAGTATTTTTCAATGTTATTGCTTCCAGCTCTATTAATGAACATGCAGTACAGAGCCCAGATATTTTTTTCATCCTTTATTCAATTATTTTACACCATGGAAGGGTGGGGGTTGGGTTTTTTAGTGAAGCCTTTAAATTAAGCAAAACTACTGAATTTCAACTAACGGCTTTAAAACTTTCAAGCACAGGTAGCTAAGTAATTTTCATCCTGCTCTGAGTTGTGCAAGAATTTCATTATATGCATTTTACAAACTGTTGATTCTGCAATAAGGGGATTTTAGGCCGCTTATATAACACACTGTTTCTAGGTATAAAGTTTCCTCAGAAGGTAAACACTTCCTTGAAAATTTCTCACTGTGGCTTTTTGAAACTCATGAACTGTTCTGAATCAATTTTCAATCCTATTTCCTCCTAATGAAAATTTCAGAAGCTATTTTAGCCTGAAGTTATGCTTCCATGATAGAAAAGCCTTCTGCTTCACATCGCCCAGTACAAGCAAAACTATACCATTCAGTAATACTTCAGGCAGTTGATGACACTTTAAGTGCCAGTAGTTTTAGTTCAGCCAGGCCTACTGAATAAAAACTATGTAGTTCCTGCCAAGCTCAGTCACTGATAGTAAAGTGTCACATCTGTGCACAGAACAAACATGTCTGTGAACTATGAGCTGATGAAAAAGCCTGAGGTGACAGGGATACATTACCTAGCATGTGCTGCAGGAAAGAAGAAGAAAACCCACATGTGTGGAAAGGCTATTGAAAGGCTATTGTAAAAACTACGAGAGAAACCTGGAAGTTTGAAGCAAAAAGGCAGGCAAAGTCTAAACAGTGATGATTTAACTTCAATATATTCAATATATTTGCTATAACAGAAAAAGATTTTTTTTAAAATCAAAAAGTATGCTTTAAAAAACAAAATTACCTGGGTAATATAAAGATGAACCACTTTAATGCTTAAAACAGATTCAAGAGTGGAATAGTGCCATTCCCAGTCCATTGCTTCCTTCCTCAGCGTTCTTACAGACCATGTGGCAACATTAGATTTTACCATTGTGCATCCACATGATCAATTAGATCAGCTTACTGATTTGAAAAACCTACTAGCCTAAGGGGAGGTAGGAAGGTGGAAAGAGCTAGCTTGCTGTCAGAGTTAGATGATCCAACTAGACAATGTCAGGAACACACAACAGGTAGGAGAAAACATGGGTCTTTTGGAATCACCCTATAAGGTCAACAGGATTATTACACTGGATTAATAGAGGAGCACAAAACAGTGAAAGAAGGCACCAGAGTCAGGACAGGGTAACAATTCCTTAAACTAGCCAGTGAGTACCAAAATGAAATTGACTTTTAGATCATTGATAAGGATTATTAGTACTAATACCAAAAGCAAGCTAACAAGCATTTCAGTCAATATTTGATGCCAAAAATGTATCACTTAATAGAGCCACAATTTACTATCTCTTTTCCCTCTCACTGGAGATTTAACTTTTATAATGACTCACAAACAGAAAAATTAATTTAAAAAAGCATTAGAACTATTTACCAGATCTTCAATGTTTCCATAGATGTTTTTCTTCATGCCTGATGCTCGTGTCGCTACCCATCCTCCTAGTGAACTGAACTCCATGGAGTCTGGTTCATGGCCTGTACAGAAGCCACTTTCAGCAAGCTAAAGAGAAAAAAATACATTCTACAGAGCCTGCATTTGCTTAGTACTCCAAATTTCAATATTCTAGATGTTGGGGGTTTTTTTATTATTTGCTTTAAAGTATCCTGATCACACCCCCATTTATTCGGGCACAAGTTTTGTCTTTGATATGTAAATGAAATGCAAATTGAGTCTGCTTCTACTGTGCATACACTGTGCTACATATCAATATATAATACTCCTCCCCCATAGTTTTAAAACTAAGACCTCTATTGTTCAGAAGAAGGTGCAAATTCAAATACATATGGAAAAAAATTATAACTAAGTAACTGCCAACTTTGCACAAATGCTGCCAATAAGGCACTAAATCTCTTGTTCTTTCTATCCTAATGTGATATGCAGCAGGTCTGCAGAAAATGTGAGCAAATTGCCTGTACTTAATTCTCTCAAGGAGTGATGTGTTTTAATATACAGCCATCTGGTTGGGCTTCCTGTATGCAACGTTGTCTACTATTTGTGATGCAGATCACACATTCCTGTACATTAAGTAGTCACTTGTTTCTCATTTTTCTGTATTAGCTTGGCTTTACCATCTGCACAGCACCTGAGGTTGATTGGATGCCGTCAGAATCACAACACCAAAGCTGTCAGACAGGAAGAATTAAAGACCCAACAGTCTCACATTAAGTGATAACTGTGTTAGTGCATTTGAGATGATCAATTTGCACTGATCAACTGATAACAATCCAGTTGGACATAGGTATTTAAATATACCACATAATGTGGATCATTAACTATGTTCTGTTGTACAAAGTGGTTCTAACTTAATGATTGAAAGTCACTTCTATGTAATGTCTATGGTGATTCATCTAGCTCATGGTCCTCTCATACCAGAGGAGCTTGTGGCCATGTATTAGGGAAGAGTTGGAGCCTGTACCCTCCTCATTCCCCAGGATGACAAGAAATTTGCTTCAGTCACAACTTACCGATTTCTACAAGTTGTATAAACACAAGTACAGCAGAAGACCATGCTTTTGAAAACTTGTAACTGACCATGCATATATGAAGCACTTGGTCTAAACTCCTTGAATCCCGTCGTGTGTCCATCATGTGCTAAGAGCACTTACAGGATAGGGAAGAAATTATGCTATGTACTTTGCAGATGCAAGAGAGAGACTCATCCGGAAAATATGAGCACATACTAGCTTTTCCTATAGAATCACAATATGATTGATAATGCTTATTACAAAAAACAGTATCAAATATTGTTCTATCTTGATTATCCTTTTGTCACCTTTAGTCCTCATCTATCGGCTATTATTCCATATTTTGTTCTAACAAGTAACTTGAGGCTTCTCTATAGAGCCCACTAATATCTGAAGCTCTCATCCCACAGAAAATAGTGTCCTAATCACACTAGAGTCACTAGCTAAGACAAATGTATGAAGTGTACATTGATTCTGAATGCCCCATTATAACACAGTCTAACTTTCGTAAAATATCAGGTTTTCCAAATTTATTTGTTCAGAATTCAGCTCTTGATTTCAGTTACTGTTATAAGGTTCATATCTGTAAATGAGATAGCCTACTAAGTAACTTCAGCACCCAGAAAATGAGCAACACAGCAAGAAGCACCAAACCTCTTCACTGCAACATCATTCCTAGATAATCTTGGTGAAGACTCTTAAGGCAACAGAAGTTGGATTAGCCTCCAATCCAAAGCTTACTTAATACTAGCAAGCTGCAAACCAAACCATAAAAGCCTTTCAAACAGTTTCTTCTTTGCACAGTCCAAATGTATATCTGCATTCTACCTGTACTTCAGTGGAAGTCTGCATTGGCATTCACTATAACATTAAATCAGTTATGCTCAGATTATACCACACAAAACAAGCACAACTTGGAGTCCTAGCTTTAATCACATCCCATTTGCTAGTAATACTGGAATTCCAGTATATGTAATATGAGTTTTTAAAATATATATACAGACACACTAAGTAGATAATCTGATTTTGTATTCTTTGCACACTGAAGGAATTGCACAGAAGTCCTCACGTGCTCAGAGTCACTCCATATATTAAAATCTTTGTATGAATACTAGTTTATATTAAATATTGAACAAATTGACAACAAGTACTCTTTTCATAGTCAAAAAACTGATTGAAAAAAGTTTTTTGATCAAAAATATTCAAAAATAACAACTGCAACAGTAGTATTTCAGCTCATAAGAACTATAAGTAGCAAGGGAATATTGTCCCTTACTTTAAGTGAAAAGTAGTGGCATTTAAAGGATAGATAGTTGTGAAATATCAAACTACTACCCTAGAAAAACGTCATTTAACTGCAGAGAATATTCTCTTTGCATTTTAATTCCAAGCTTGAAAGAAACAGATCTGGAAAGGTTAAAATATTGCAGCAAATGATAAAAGGGAAAATAGGAGGCAGAGGAGGCTATCTTTCTCAAACAGCTCCGTTAGTCAAGCATGACAAGTCTTCTAAAAAGTGGTCTAAAAAAAAAGGTTCAAAAAACCTTCAAATCTCTGCATATTTGTAAAGCGCATTTAGGCACCAAAAAAAGTTTAAACAGCATTTAGCTATCAAACAAGTCAAGTCCTAGAATATTTTTTTTTTAAATAAGCAGAACTGCACATCCTGAAGAATAGTAACAAACATCCACAACTTGCTTGATTATATACAGAGGAGCACCAAGAAAGACCCTAAGAAGGGTCTGATAAACTGGAATTAAAAGCCACTAGGGGTCACTTAGAAATGAAGGTGATCTGATGTTCCACTGGACTCTTGTTTTGGGCAACTCTCCATCCTTTCTGCTACTCTCCTCCAGCTGGCCTTAAGCAGCAGCAACAGCAGCAAATCTGTTATATGCTCTAACCTTTGAGGAAACTACCTCTGGCCAAAATGACTAAAACATGCATCACAAAATGACAATTTGAACTTTTCTTGGTAATGGGTACCAAGTGTCGTGCCTTGCAACCACAAGGGTGTATCTAAGGTCTGAAACAGAAGGTATACTATTACATCCTATGAATTGTTAACTTATTACTGTAATCATGTTTTGTGGCTAGAGCTAAAAAAAAAAAATTCAAGTATTCATCAAATACAGCATTCAACGTGATATGGTTCATAACCACACATATAATGCTTACCACACCAGTCTGCATGAGAACACACAAGAATTAAGCTAGAATTCAATTATTTAGACAAGACATAAGGAACAGCCAAGAAAAATATGGAGAAATACTAGATGCTTGACAAGTTTGAAGTACCTGTTTTTCCAGATCTTGTCCAACAATGCCAGCTTCCACACAAGCTGTTAAGTTTTTCTCATCTATCCAGAGAATCCGATTCTGTTGAAAAGCCGATCAAAACTAAGAATCAGTGTTAAAGACTTTTGTCTATTTCCTTCCCTAATACTATAGGATCAACATGCTTGGTCATACAGTTTACTATTAATACAACTCCAGTTATTACAGTAGCGGAAGCTGAGCCCCCTCACTCCCTCAAACAGCTACATAACAGGCTACCATTTATGAAGTCGCCACTATGAGAGAGTAACATACTTATTAGCCAATTTATGCTAGGAATGTTTACAGAAACAATGCAGAAAAGCCAGAAAGAATTGTCAAAACTCTTACAGAAGTTAAGCAATACAGTGATTTTCACAATTAACATGATTGAAGGTGCCTGAATCTGACTATCCGGACATTAAGTATACACCAAGAAAAGTATTCTTAAACCTATTCCATGGGTTAAATAGACTGCACTCAGCTATTTCAGTTCAGCTCTTGATTTTGCCACAGTAAGCTAGAAGCAAGGTATACTACAGGATATCAGAGTATGTACATACTTTAGAAATTTAAGATACTTGGAAGGATTATATAATTTTATCTGATGAGACACTGTCCCATCAGTATATTCTACTAAACAGGAAAAGTAGTAAACACTACAAGTTACATGCTGTACTAAGCACGATTGTCAATGAGGACAATCCACATGAAGGAGAAACTTAACAAATAGGGTTTTAACTTTGTTTATAGTACGGACACCACAGAAGCTTCAGCTTCCACTCTTCATTCTTAAGTACACTTCTGGTGTACTTTATAATTTTGTGTATTAATATTGTATAGAAGGAGAACTGCTCTAACTTCCCCTTGCCTTGATTTTTCAAATGACAGAAATGTGGACATCTTGTAGTCCAACTTAAACTACGCTTTAAAGCAACTGTCTCCCCTCACAACATCTCACAACATCTGGGCTATTTCAGCTCCTTTCAGACACCTTCAGTTTCAACATAAACTGCTTAACTGATCTAAGATGCTTATGTAAATCAGTTTTTATGCAATATAGACACTACATATAAGATGAAGATACCCATTAAGTGTCTATTAAAACCGTAAAGCTTAGCCAATCATCTCAACTGCTCTGACAGCAGGTTTTAACTCTGACAATGCTTCTTTTCACCTTAATTTCTTTATTTTTCCCTCCTTATTAATGATTACAAGAATGGGCTGGCAGAGTCATTCAAGACACATGAAAGTGGTCTATTTTCTGACTTGGTGTATACTTACATATCTAGTTGGCACAAAAGCATGATAATAAGAGTCAACCACATTCCTTTCCCACCCCCAAACTAGAAAGAAGTCAAAGCTGTGGGCTACGAATCCATGAGTTCAAATGAAGACCTGGGTCAGTATGGTACTCTTTGTATTTCCTCCATATAGACACTCAAAGAGCTTACTTCAAAACACAACTACCACCTTTGCAGAAAAGATAATTTTGTAACCAGACATACTGAGAAAAAACAAGTTTAACTGAAGCACCACTGACTGAGTGGAGAAAATGGAGCCAAGACCCAAGTCTTGCCTTCAAGGCTAAAGGAATTAATAAGCTCAATAGGTGCTCAGAGGCAGTAGAGCCTTACATCAAAGATACAGTGCTGTTTCTGAAGCATCTCACTACTATGTAGTCATAAAACTGTCATTTTACAAGTGTAAAGCTCCTTCATGAAGACAAAAATTAGCACTAAATTTTACAGAACTTCATTTCTGGACTGCCATAAAGCTATGAACTTCACATTCTCAAGATGCCATCTACACAAAAATCTAGGGTTTTTTCTTTAAAGTTGATCCTTCAAGTTGATTTATAGATATTAGGTCACCTTACCAACCTTTGCTTCAAGTATTTTTTAAGTCTGCAAAAACTAGTCAAATTTGCAATGACAAATAACTTCCTCCTACCCTTTCATTTAACCTCAGATATAAGTTCCAGTATAGAAGAATAGTACCTTTCTCTGATTTTCACTTAAAGCTGCTATAAGAAGGTTTAACAGTGATTTTTTTCTTATTAAATACATACAGGTCATATGAAGTAGTACAAGACTAACATCAGCAAAATATCACTTAAACTGAACAAATACCAATTTAATCATGCATGGTACAGATTAACACTTCCATCCCTACTTTATTCTTGGCAAAGAAAGAAATGCCATTCTCTAGCGATCAGCATTCAAAGTAACCATAGGATAATTAAAAAAAAAATAATAAAAAATTGAGAGACACACCATTTGTGATGTATCCAGTGAGACAATTGTTCTTTTTTCTTCTTCAGGACATTCAAGGGCACTAGATACACTCGTCCCTCCTGCAAATATGGGAGTGACATTGTGATCATAAAATTCTCAGGTAGCTTTTCTTCACATACCATCCCTCTCTCCCTCCTTTCTGATAGTGAACTTAATAAAGTAAGATCACTGAAGTTAACTGTTTGAGGCTAGTGATTAGCCTTTTAAGGGTGTCTCTTCTTCCAAACTGGGTTTCACAAAATTAAAGGCAGCATTGGAGCTCACAATGCTTTAACAGCACTCAATAACAAACAATGAAATTCTGTGACCATCTCAGCTGCTTCTGTTAAGTCCAGAATAGAGTTTTAAAACAAGGAAGGGTAAGAAATAACAAACCCATCCAAGAAGCAGAGATAGCTACGGTTTCTATATATTCTTTTGAGATCACTATGGAAGCCACTACACTTCTACCTCGAAAGCTGGCTTAAGAAGTCTACCTAATACAGGAATGTAGTACTTATCTGAAAGCAAGACAGAAATTGAAAGGGTGTAACTATTAAAAAAAATGGATAAAACCAAATGTCAAACTTTTGTGGGAGTTTCTAATGTATATCTTTATAGGATGTCACAGAACAGCCTCCAAGAAGCCTTTGGCTTCTCAAAGACTACAAAAGCCATAGGAAAAGAGCTACTAAGATGCTAAAGAGATCCACAGCAAGCTACCAGAAGAACAACGAAATGGCAAGTACAGAGGCCAACTAATAAAACACTTTCCAAGAGCAGTAAAGCCCACCACCTTTGTCTCCAACTATAGGAAAGGCAGCACTTTCCTTAAATGTCAACCCCTATAGTAGTAATTCCAGAAGTTGACCGTAGTTCTGTATAAACAGACTTGGAAGACAATCTGAAGATCTTTCTGTATCCTGGTCAGTGAACAAGAGATAGTCAACATTGCTGCTTTCAGCTATACCAATTTACTAGTACCAAAGGTGACTTGTAGCAGTTTTACAGCTCTCCAGATGTATCTGGGAATGGTTGAGAGCCTTTTAGGGAGAAATCAGCTCCATTAGTTTGGTATTGTGTTCAAGTGACATGCTCATCATCTCAAACAGTAAATGTCCTTCCTACAGGGGCTATACTCCTACAGCATAAACAAGTACCAAGTAAAACACATTTATCCCACAGAATTAAGAGTTCTTGACAAAAATCTTCTCACAGAATGAGCTCATAAAAGCCAACATCCAGCGCTCACCGAGCTCCAAGTTAAAACAAGGTAGCTCATCACTCTACTTCAACAGGCTTAGAGGAAAAAGCATCCACAATTGAAAACCTGAAATCCTTTAGAAATTCTTTAGGCTGAGAAGGACACATAAGGATACAGGCCTTTACCTGTACTCTGTACCTGGAACATTTCCTGAAATACCCTTGCCACAGGAGTCTCTAATATAACTTTCAAACTGAACAATGTCTAAAAGGAAATTTAGAGTTATGGTTAACGATTTTGCAGTACGGTGTCTGACCACAATCCTCCCTGGACCTATGAGCTTCAACAATACAACAAAAAAAAATTATTTATACATGTTTGTGGGAACAGAGCACAAGTAACGCGTCCAAAAACATGATACCTCTAACACAGATATTTGAATCTCTTATTTCCTAGAAGACTTCCAAGGCACAGAGGTAGATTTCAGCTTCATATAATCACTCCTCTTGCACATTCAATATTCAAGGTGTTGATATACTTTTAATGATTTCCACTATATTGAACACAGCAGCTTTTAATACTTCAAGATCATAAAAAAAATTAAGACCACACTTAAAATACTACTAAAAAACCTAACTATTGAATTACTGGTACAATATATTACTAAGATCACATATTTAAATGGAATTCAAGCAGAATACATTTTCACTAGTAATGTTAAACAGATTTGAGATTTCATATCACTTACCACCAAATGGTATTATGCAGATATTGTGTTTGCAGGCTAATTCCACAATTTTAACTACATCTTCATGGCAAACTAAAAAAGTCCAAACAGTTAAAAAAAATGGGATTTATGCTTAGTACTTTTATTTGTGCTGAGTACTAAATATTGCAGTCTGAATAAGCAGCAGCTCCTTTTCTGACAGCAGCAAGGAAGATATTTCAAAGAGTTAGGCACTAAATAAGAGCTGGGCTCTGAAGTATCAGAGTTCCAGAGTAAAGTTTAGACCTGAAACAATTCTACATTTGAAGAACTAACTACAGCCTTAGTCTCCTGCTCTACTCATGGATTGAGACCTCATGCAAATTCTCAGGGCAAGATGGACTATCAAACAGTTAACAATTAACCTAGGTATCTTGGAGAACAAATCAAGTTTAAAGCTTTTATTGAAAATAGGCTGTCCAATTTAAGTAAGAAATAAGTCTCTGAGAGCTGAACAACACATCTTTTTCTTCCTGGCTCACATTCATTTTCAGAATTAGAGTTGCTGGAGGAATTTACTTTTTCAGAATGCATTCTGTATCTGGTCAAAGAAGGAAGCAGAAATGCTTGTGCACAGGCAAGGAAAAGGATCAAAAAAAAAGAGGTCAAATACAGTGCACACATGAGTTTGTGCAAACAGCAGAGAATGAGCAGGACTGAATAAAGAGGCTGACAAAGTGGCTACTCTGCTCTTGCCATACAGTGCAGCTTTAAACAAAAGGTAGTCAATCATTTTATTTCAGTTGCTTTTGGAGCTGCACAAAATAAAGCTGTGGCAAGTGATGTTCACAGTCACCAGTGCTGTCATGTCAGTACCTGTCCTCAAGTAATGAGATGCATCTTACAGTGCTTCTTTCTGTGCTTCCCATATGTGATTTTTTCCTCTAAATAAAGGAAGCAAAACTGAGCTAAGACTAAGTTCTTATCAGAAATTTTGGGGTTTCTAATGCAGTGCAGCTATCAAAGTATCAGAAAGTTATAAAAGGTCAGGAAAGAGTTGGATTCATATAGCTGAACAGAAATTGACAGGTACTTACATCAAATCACTTTTTGGTTAGCTACTGAAGGATGGCATATGGAAAGTAGTTCCTAAGTCGTATCAGTTTAAGTATTTGTATCCTTCTACTAGACAGAAGCAAGTATATTTTCTACTACATATTATCTACAACACTAGTTATTACTCTATTTAAAATGGGCCTAGCATGTACTCAAATTGCACTGCTCTTTCTTCAAGTCAGTGATCCTTTGTAAAGTGTTCTGATAGGAGTTGCAGGTGTTATACTTTTTTAATTAAGTACAGCGTGTCATAAAACAAAGTTCTTTAATAGAAACATTTCACTGCTCTCTTACCATCATGTACTCCTTCAAAAAACAAGATTTAGACTGCCGTTTAGACAACTATTCTCAGGGAATATACCAGTTCAAATTACACTGTGGTTACTTAAGTTATGAATTCAGCTGTCAACAGAAACTTCAGCTACAGTTAACAATAAATTTTACTTCCCCACAAAGTGATGGGATTTCACAGGCACAACCTGCGATCCAGATGTTAAACAACCACAATTACCATTCATGAGAAAATCCCTTCAGTTTCTGTAAAGACAAGTGAAGTCAATGAACCATGACACAGCTTGCACATGACAAAAAAGCATGAGTTTAGTAAACAATGTCCTCCCCGATCAGAAAGGAGAATAAGACAATTAAAGCTTACCAGGCCATACAACTATATCAGGAATTCGCTTAAACATTCCTTCCCTGAGTACAAATATCTCATGTAGGCAGTGACCTGAAACACAAACAATAAGTTAACAAGTTCAAACAAGAAAGCATTGAAAGCAGCACAGTTACATAAATGAAGTTCTCTTACCATGAGCTCTGAATACCCTATCTTCTGCATCCTGTGAATATGAGATTTTAGTGGCTCTAAGATCCTGAAGAAATTCTTCATTTACAATGGATGGAGGTACATCATTAACATTTAAGGATGCCTGCAATACAAGAAAATAAGTTCATTAAAGGTAGGTTCACTCTTACAGCATTTCTGTATGACAGAAATAATAAAAACATGTTAACACTAGCTGATACCCAAACACAACTATTTAAGATCAGAAATACAGAAGTTCTCTTCCTCATCTTCAATCACTGATCCCACTTGTCCTACCTGGTACTCAGCTGACTAGATGCACACAGGAAGCTTTATTTCAGTAGCACATTCTTACCCTTTGTCCTCCTGAGAAATCTGGAGAAATGCACTAGCTTATGAGTGCATACTGAACAAAATACCTTTTTAAAGACATCCCAAGATCCAAGAAAAACAGCTGCCTGAACAGAACTAGAGACTCTCCTGTTGACAAAAGGGTATAGACTGAAGGTCAAAACTCCTTTTTGAATATAAGTTCCTCCTCCAATACAGAGAAATACATACTAAAGCAACTACCCACTCTGCAAATTCCTCTATTTACAGTTCTGTTTCTATCAACCCATTTCCCCTCCTCCTATCATGTACTGGAAGTTGTTAAATCCATCTCAGATCAAAGCCTAATCAAAAGTCCAAAGCAAGGCAAAACAAAGTTTGACTGATCGAACATAACCATACTTTAAGCAGACCTCACACATCAGAAAGACTTTATAAAATCCATGTTCAGTCACTAACATGCAGGTGTTTCTAGAAAGCCTCTAGCTAGAAGTCCTGATCAACACCTTGGAAAAAAGTTTTTCTTTCAAAGAAGCTACACTGGACATTTTGGCTTACCAACAGGTCTTGAATCGAGGTAAGTCCAGAGGGAGAACCCCTGCTTAAGATTTTCTAACAACACGTTCTTCCAGGTCCTTATGACAGATGTCTCACATAATATTCTTATGGCTTCTCAAAATGCAGGCTTAGCCACTTAATTCTCTTTTCTGAAGTCCACTTTAGATATCAGGCACATGAAAACATAGTTCATGTGTTGACTTTTTAAACCTACTTAAGAGAATGAGGATTCTTTACAGGACCCAGTTCCAAAAAAATACAGTCTTTGTAGACATTAAGTGTAATGCTTTTAAGTGCTTTGAAGGTTCAAAAAAGACAATATGCTATTTTCCCCTCCTTAAAAATGGAGCCAATAAATTCATTTATCCTTTTCTATGGGCAACCTCCCTAAAGCAATATGTCTCCTATTACAAATGGCTTGTAATTAAGGAGTTCTTTAATTAGATATAAAGCTTGTCTTATGACTAAAAACTAACTTCTAGACTTCAACTCCTATTTTGAAAGAAAATGTTGGTCAAGAATCTTATTTCTAGTTATCAAAGTCCCTCAAGTTCAAGAACAGGAGAACTGAAAAATTTTCACTACTTCATCTTTTATTTTAAATACACTCTTAAAAACTAGGAGTTGCATAAGTATTAGTTAAATATTGCAGTGCTTTCAAACTTCTGTCATGAAAACCTTGCTGGCAAATTACCTGACTTCACCTTCAACTCAAATAGAAGAACATTCTTGCAATTTTGTTAAAAAGCCATCAGAAAAGACTATGGGCTGCCTAATGGTGCCAGAAAGAGCTTGCTTACAGCCCTACCACCAAAAAGGTATTTTGTACAAAATGTTCCACATAGTCAAAGAAACTTGGACATTTCTTTGACAAGCCTAGCCTACGCTTCTTGACAAGAACAAAGAGAAAAAAGCAAAACAATTCACTTTTCTTTCATCTTCTGAAGTTTCAGTCTTCTGAAAAAAAAAGTATACCTACCCATTCAAGTTTTCTTTCCTGAAATGGAATTTTGCCTATCTTTGCTTTACATAACCTCCAGAACAGCTGATCCTTCTTGCCAACATGTATCTTAAGATAAAAGCTTAGAGGACAGCACCAGTTACCAAACTAACCACAAGGAAGACAGAGATGAATAGTCTCCCATCTGCCACTACAGCAGCAGTCTATTCTGAATGGGTTGAGTCTCAAAGTAATAAGAGCTGAAGAAGAGAAGACTTAACTACCTGAAAACTTCCCTGTTGAAGGTTAAAAGATCCATGGTGATGGAACTTGCCTACCAGTGTCTACCCTACAAGAAACTATGTAAGGTTATGTGGAAATTAAGAGTACTTACAGGGATAATTCAGAAATCAATATCTGCATGAGACACATTAATGACTGATAGCTAACAACATTTAGAAGTTCAAAAGGATAGCAAAGTGTTTTAGAGTTTTCATATGGGACACATGACCTATGACATATGACACACATCCTTTTAGAAGAGGATATGTGATGTTCTGACTTTCTTTAAGGATAATATTATACTTCTTGAAATAAGGTGTCAGACATCTGAGAAAAAGGCTTTTCCCTCCAACATATTCACTTTGTCACCTACAATCACAGAAGTTGAGATTAAGTGGTGCTTAGATGAGAAGCACACTGCTCATGAGAGATCATGATCTCAGGGGCCAGTCACAATAAGCACAGAGGAAGTCACGTCTTGGATTGCTGCTCTTAGCTCCTACTGTTCTGCTATTAATGCACATTCACACAGTCCTGTCTGCTAACCCAAAGAGCAGAGCTCTGACAGAAACTTGGGAAACACGAGAAACAAACAAGTAGGTATCAAATAAAGATCTTTAAACCACTTTAAAAAAAAATCCCTGCTAGCTATGCTTACATTTTCTATTTTAAACTTTGGTTTCTTCATGGATTTCCATGGACAGAACTATTTCAAATCATTTCAAGTTGAACACCAAGTGCTTGAAGATCTTCGTTCTCCATAAGAGGGGCACAAACCACTTAAAGCTATAACAATTCCTTGCAGATGGTTTTAGGTATCTCAATTTTTATCTCTCTTCCACAAGTAGTTTAATCCTTTAGCTGCCATCTTCAAGACTGAAAAGTTAATATTCATCCGTATAATCTTACAACACCAAACAAAAATGTACCTTTATTTATTCATATGGGACTGAAATACTTTAAGATTTGTGCACTGAAAGGCTAGACAGGAAGCCTATGTGAACTAGGTCTAAACTGCTGTCTGTGGTAAGTCTAGTCTTAAAAAGGAAAAAAAATGTCATCAGGCCTTGAGCATCACAGAAGCAGGTATATTTACTGTTGTTAATTAGAAAAATTGCATGTAGCAGGGAACCCTCCAGTCTTGTAGAATAGAGGCAGGAAGATATGAGATAGAAAGACAAATGGACCAAGAGATTCTTCTCCTACCGCTGTTCCTATATTCAAGTTTCTTCATGCTCTGATGACAGTAGAAGGTAAAAAAACAATACAGCATGACAACCTGAAATATAAACTAGGAACTATGACAGAGATGTGAAAGTGTACTGTACTGCAGTAGTAGTTGAGAATAGCTATGAGAAGTCCAGATACATACTGAAGACTCTAAAGAGTCCTATTCTGTGTCAAGGGTAGTCAACCTGTTTCAGACTGCAACAAGAACATCAGAACGAGAGGGACACAACACAATGGGAAAGCATTCAACATTGCTGGCAGATATCCTGAAGAGTTGTTTTGCAAGACTTGCTGTGGAATCAAGAATCTGCCCTTGTCCTCCAACTCTTTGTTTGTATTTCCTCTACACGTAGAAAGGGAACAACATCTCTCAGGACCTCTGGTCACAGCAAATTAAAGCAGTTGCCAGTTAAGACCAATCCTGGTCAAGGAAAACATCAAGATGAATTTTTTCAAAATGTATTGGCAGATAGAGATTCTGCAAGTCATAGCAGATGAAAGAATGTCTTGATTAACAGAAGATTGAAGTAATGTTCAAGTTTTCAGGCTCTTTGAGGTTACCTACTTCAGAGAAAATGCAATCTTGAACTCATTCAAGAAATGGGTAAAACTGTTACCCAAAACAGGGTTGCTATAGTCACTGTACAAGCACAGCCTGCTTCCAACACTGCTTAAGCAACTATCTAGTCAGGAACCTGCAGCGTCAAAGGAATTCTTGGAAGGAAGTCAGGTCTCCTGACTCTGACATGAGTTACTCTTCTTGAAAAGCAAAACATGGAGGCTTCACAAAACCCAGAACATTCCAAATGTGTTGTTTTTCTGAAAACATTCAGTTCAATCTTGAGTATTCTGGTAGCCAGTTTTCAGCATCCAGACATGTAAAAAAATACTGTCAAATAAGAACTTGGATCTCATTAAATACACGGAAAACACAGCACAATTTAACTTCACTGTATCTTCTGTCTTTGTTATCATGAACAACATTGAAGTTGCATAAACAATTCCCTCTAGGCTAACAGTTTCTACAATCCTGACAAGCAACCTACAAACAAGGACAAAACCACCTCCCTGTGTTGGAGACTTTCATTCCAATAGAAGTACTACCAGTTAACCTGGAACCACAAGTCATGCTAGGTCATTGAATGTTTCATATAGAACACTTTTCAAAAACTGAGGTATTAATACACTATATTTAGATCATGTGCAAGGTGACCTTCCGGACAACAGCTGAATCATCTTTAACAATGTGGTCTTGATTATCACCAAGACTAACGTTCAAAGGAACTGGTTCAGCTATTTACTTACTCTAGAGGTAGTTTTGTGCTCCAGACTTGCTCCAAAGGTTTTTTCTATCCATTCCTTAAAAGTTGGTAATACCATACCACCTAATCTGTACCTGAAAAGTCAATATTACATAGGGTCATTTAAAATTAAAAGACTGTATGTCAGATACACTTCTTCCAATTCTACGTATGCACAAATAGTTAAGTTTTAAATCAAATTCTTTACCTACAAGCCTGCAAAGCTTCTGCACATTTAGTTTTCATGCAACTACACATTTCATTGTATTTAACTGTTCTGTACTTCACACAAAAATCAAATCAATTGTCAACCTCTAAGGTATTATTTTCTTGCATGATCTTTGGGAATTGTGACATTAGGCTTTCCAGATATCCCACCCTCCCCATCTTTAGTTTTAGGAAAGGTCTCTCCCTTTCAGTAGTGCAGAAAGCAGCTTCACAGTTTACATGCCAGTTACAGGTAGAGGCCATGTGTGTATCGACACACTGAAATGTAAATAACAGTCTCAGACAAACCCAGCTCAGTACACCTTAGATGTTTTGAAGAAAAACAGTGTTAAAGATTCTTCCCTCATCATCACGATGCATCAGAATCCATCAAGCAATGTGAATTTATTCCTATCGCAATCTCTTCAGCAAGAGCTTAGCCATGTGACAGATGGAAGACTTACAGACAAGGGACAGAGGAGCTATGTGTGAACATCTGTACTACATGTGAAAACAAATAAGGCTGGGGACACACTTAAACAGGTAGAAACTATTTCTGTTATATACATATACACACACCTTGTGCATGTTTATGTTTGCACAAACATTCTCTGAGGAGAAGAGAAAAAGGACCTTTCTTTAGTAATAAGAGCTTTCAGCAGCTGAGAATCCTTACTCTAGTTTGTACATGGGTCACTGCATTACACCTCATGGGTCTTCCTTTAAGATTATTCAATCACTGTTAAACCAGTTATGATTCTGTCCTTCACAGCTGTTGCAACCAACTCTACAACTAAATCACCTACTATACAGGCAGATCAATTCCTTTTGTTTCTTCATGTCAACCACCTCCCAGTTCTTCTATTGCAAAAAAAAACCCTACTCTATTACTAGAGATAAAAGGCTACAACCATATCTCAACTCAAGCTACATTCTTCAGCTTGGAAGGCAGTATTCAGTCATTATTCCTGTGACAGCTGTTATTGCATCATTATACCCATATGAAACAGTTACATGAATTCTATGAAAAGGAAAGTGCAATAAGCAACGGAAGTTTAATGCATTTGCATCAGGAGTTTGCAACAAAGGTACAGAGAGACTCAAGTCAGCTTGGTGTGTTTTCTTCTCTAGACATACTTTTTGGTATTGCCAACCTATTGCTATAGCTAGCTTGCAAGCATAACCTCAATTGCTTATTCAGAGGACAAACTAAAGCTATCGGAAAATGAACAACTTTTAAGTCAAGACACAGACAGAAGTCACAATACAGAGGGAGTTAGGAGTTTACGGCACAGAATGCAACACATGATTGCTCAGGAAGCAAGCTTTGTATGTACATTGATGGTGCAAGAAGCCCCCCAAAAGACCTCCTGCCCCCACACACCCCCCAAAAAACAGGTTTAGTTGCTCAGACTAGCAAGTATCATCTATCCATGGTGAGATGATAGTCGAGTCTATAATAAAAGGATCATTTGACACATGGAAAAGCATGGTTTGTTGGGAAAGTCAACATGGCTTTCATAAAGGGAAATCCTGTTTCACTAACCCTTGGAGTTCTACCAGGGTGTACAAATGGGAAGTGAATAAAGAGAATATAAAGAACATTAAATTCCACACTCCTTTATACTTCCACAGGTGTTGACCCCAAGAGCTATTTAAAGAAAATACATTGCTACAGTACTTAAGGAAAGGTTCTTCTACAGGCTGAAAGATAAGATAAGGTTAAGATAAGAAGCGAAGGACAGAGTTTATTGGTCACTAAGACTCAGGAGTGCAGCTTGCCACACACTGGTACCAGGACTAGTTTTACATAATGTCTACATACATATGTTTACATACATCAGTGATCTAGATTCATCAGTGGACTGTCCAACCAGGTGAATAATATTAAGCTCTTTCGGGTAGACAGATAACTACACTGATAGGAAGGAACTCAGGACCTTAAAAAGCCTGAGCAGACAAATGAGGATGGAAGACAAGACGCAGATAACTGCAAGAGCAAAAAAAAAAAAAAGCATTACTTGTATATTTTGCAGAATCAGACTGGTAGTCCGTACAGGAAAAAATCAGCATCTTCACTGACAACATGTAACAGCAGCCAACAGCGTTATGCATCAATCAGGCAGGTATAAGAAAGAAGGTGCTGCTCTGTTGAACCCTGGTGTATCCATACCTTGAGTACTGAGTGCTGCATGCAGTTTTTGTCCCTGTATCTCCAAAAATACATAGCAGAGCTAGAGAGGGTTCAGAGAACAGCAGCTGTAAATACCAAGGGGCCTTAGAAGCAGAGACTAAAGTGCCCAGGACACAGCATAGAGAGAAAGTGGAAGAGGATACAATTGAGTCTTATATAATCAACAAAGCAGTAGATAGGCTGAAGAACTATCATTCACCTAACCCTGCATTACAGTAAGGGATACTTGGTTTAAAACACAAGTGCTTCACACAACAGCAACCTGGAACTTGCTGCCACGGAATGTTGTGGAGGCAGACACTATCAATAGACTTGAAAGCTATTAGACAAATTTATGAACAACAGATCTGTAAGTGGATACTAAAAGGATGAGGCATCTACGTCATCTTTGCAGATCCCTGTTCTCCTATTTTCACTTCAAAAAAACTTTCCTTTTGCCACTGTGACAAACTATTCCATAGAAACTACACTGGTGTGACCCAGCAGGGCATTTCTAATATTATTATCAGTTAGAGAGAGAATGCAGATGGGGAAAAAAAAACACCATTCTCCCCCCATTCTAGAACAGTGACTGGTATCAGTCAAACAGCAGCCTCTATCCTTCTTCCTGAAAAAAAAAAAAGAAATCCAAGTCCAGCTCTTTACTTTTTTTCCTTCAAAGCACACTGCATAAGTTTTCTGTGCAGCATAACCTACCCCAGATAAACTAAAGATATCAGATGAAAGAATGAGTGACAAAGTGACAAGAGTCAGAATCCTGGCACGAGAAGAGAGAACACCAAGATCTCCCTAAATATTATACAGTGAATGCAAGTATCTGTAAGAACGTAAGACAAGGCTTTGCATTTTAATCTGGGCCTGAAAATTAAGAAATTAAGGATTAAAGTGCTCAGCATCCCAGTTAGGTTTTTGCAGCTTTGACTCAAACTAGCTCATGCTAGTTTACACAAACTCAAAGATCAGGAAGGAATTTTTCTGAAGGACAGTACTTAGATTTATTTCTGTTCCCTGTTTTTCTTTACTCTTACAGAAAGTGTATTTTTTTAGACCACAGAAGAGACTCTTGCAAGAGTATTTTCCACTGAGGCAGAAAAAAAAAAGTTAGAATGTCAAGTGACAGCCTTAAATCCCACCGGAAGAAAGTTAAGAGATCCCCAGGTAGACTTAATTCTAATGTCATTTCCTCAAAAAAAAAAAAAAATTTGTACAAGCTTGTTTTTCTGAGAAAAGTAGTAGATAATACATCAGAAGCATTGCTACTACAGAACATACAACCGAAGAACAGATTTTAATTTTAAGCTCAGAGGATAAAGTAGCTCCATGCACAATGGTTAAGAAACCTAAACCACAAATTGGAAGTTTAATAAAGCAACTTGTTGATGCTCAAGAGATTCTTAAAATTGGCAAAACTGCACTGACCTGCTGCATGTTATCTAAAGCTTTAGAACATGGTGCAGATTCTAATTCCATTCTCCAAGGGAAGTTTAATGCACAGAGTATATCAAGTTACAGAGAAGACTCACATTAATTTGTCCTTATAATACTTTTAATAAACCTTCCAAGAAGCCACACAGTCTATTTTATTACACCTTAGACTACAGTGTATAGAATTCAGTAAACCTGCTAAAGGCAGAACTAATAACCTATTCTATGAAATAAAACAAGTTTTTTTGCTTTCTGTGGATTAACTGAACAGTGCAGTTTTTATACACTTCTCAAAAAAATCACCAAATAAGACACTTCAGTTACATAAATTTTCAACTTACCTTTTTCCTGTGAATTCTGCTTGACCCTTCTTATTGAAGATGAATTTGGAGTCATTATATCCCCATCCATTCCACTTCAGAAGTTCTTGCCTTAAAGGGAGAAAAATACATAAATGAGAATGTTAGCATATTGTAAGCCCCAAATTTGCAGTTACATGGCTTTGGAAAAAACTCTTATCAGATAGCAATTCAAGAAATCAAGTATACATCAAAATTGCATAGCTTAATAGAGCAAAAAATCATTTTGCAGCCACAACCATTATTCCTTCAGATTGCATCTTAAGACTTGAAAGACAAAATGCTTTATAAAAACAATCAGCTTAAGTCAATGCACACTGTATGGTGATATTCTCAAATTGGCAAAAGCAATGTTTGAAAAACACTTGTTTTTAAATCTATACATAAATACTAACACATAAATAGGTAATAGCTAAATATTTTCAGAATGATAAAGGCATTCAGCATTATTATTTTCTGTAAAGAGAATAACTTTAAATCGTAGTTGTTTGACATCACTACTGTAATTCCACTACATTCTTAATAACATTCACTTGATGAGGCACTCGGACACATTTGGATTGAAAATATATTTTTGGAAAGTCAAAAAAAAAAACCCAAGAACTGCAGGAATAACATAGCAAATACAACCTGAATGTGACCTCAAAGCATGCCACCAAAAGAAAGGTAATATAAAAGGAAAAAAAAAAAAGCCACAACTGCCAAAAAGCAACCACAAAATTGAAATATCTTAAGCACAACCATACCAAAACAGAGGATCTCTTAATTATGATAAAGTAATCAGAAGTATATCAATGTAAACATATTTAACTCAGATATACACAAAGAGTAATTACACATTAATCTAACTTTGCTTAAAAATTTTGCCATTTATTTACATTAGAAATGAAGCACTAACCTAAAAACTGAATTTTCGTTAATAAAAAGGCACCTTAAAGTAGTCGGAACACAGATTACCTTACTCCACTATAGACAGTGAAGATAGCTCTTACTCTTTGACTTTATAATGTAAGAGCAAGATGATGATCAGGGGGTGACCATCTCAAAAAGGCATTGTGATTCAGAGAAAGCACTGCCTCAAGTCAGTTATAACTCCACCATTACACACAAGATAACTGGGTGATGATTGATTACTAATGGCCTTCATTATAAAGATAATATTAACACAGGCTGGTGACATACTGTCAGTGTTGTCATTAAATAGACTTGGCTTAATCAAAATTCATTTTCTTCAAACTGCCTGTACACAAAGTTTTAATTAATCAAATGGAAAAAAAACCCATGGACATGTATTTCAATTGTTTGCATCAGACATTTCAATAAGCCTTTAACAAATTTAGCACTTTAAGCAAACTTTATAGAGCAGTTTCAGTACTCAGTAACTATTACAGTTTTGTGAAATAGCCAGCCTGTTGTTCTTCCACATCAAGGAACTGATTTAAAATTTCAGCCAAAATTAAACTGAGCAGACAGCTGTCCAGATACAGAAGCCTCTCTGTTTGGCTGCCTCCTCTCTCGATAGACTCTATCTTTACACATGTAGCGTTCACTCAGAAAAGGGCAAGGATACTCATGTTCAATAGCACAGGAATGCCTGGTACTATTGCACTGACACAAAAGATTGCATAACATGCATTAAGAACACTTTTGTGTAGTCTTGCCTATTTTTACATGTATTCCTATATTCTATATTTGTATACTTATAAATGTTGTCTTATAAATATTGTATATATTTTTAAGAAATTCCACAAAGACACTAAGTCATACACAGTTGAGCTGTTCCCAGCTGCGAACAGGCTCACACAGAATTGGCCAACTCAAGTGGAATTTATTTTATTTTTTTAAACCAAGCATTCCCTTCAAATCCCCATCGTTGCAGTCCTCCTCAAGGCAAGATTTCTCCCTCTGCTGACTAAATGTAGTATGTCTATATATCTGACCTCTGTAGTTCGTTAAATCCTGTGAAGTCAGAACACACTTGATATTAATAAGCAAAATTTAAGGAAGGCTCAAGCAGCTTCCCCCCTAATTTAGAGAGCTAAGTCCTTTTGCAAGGCAGTGCCAACATAAGTATACGAAGTACAAGGCGGAAACTAGCTGCAGAGCTGGAGACAATCAGACAGACCAAGGCGCAAGAGACCAGGCTCTAAAGGAACTGGTGACACACTGATAAAGTACAGCTTTGAAACCATCATTAGTCATGATGTCAGTACAGATAGATACTTCCCATAAAATCTAGGTGAGATACTATTAAGGCACTGAACAAAAACCCAGATATGAGGTCTTTCTGCTAAGCTGACTGCATTCCCAGTTGTTTGCTTTTTCTAAAGGCCTACTTTCCTAGGTTGGTGTTAAACTTTCTGGTGCTTTCATCAGGCTTTAAAATACAAAACAGAGGCTAAGAGTTTTAACTCTTAAAAAGTTTATTTTCAAGTTGAACTATTCCTGAACAAAATAAGTACAAAGGCTTACTCTGCCAGACAACATAGCTCTTGTTATTGGTGTAATGAATACAATTAAATTAAAATCTAATATAAGAGTTTGCATGTTTGTACAAGAACAGCTGGTTCTAAAACCTCTCAGCTACTTCATAACACAAAGTCAGGAGATTCCCCCCTCCCACCCCCACATAACGGGCAGTATTATCTCTTGTGACAGGTAAACACCACAACAAAAAGTTAAGCATTTAATTTTTATATTCAAAACTATACAGAGCAAGGGTTTTGTTTGGAGACAGGAAGGGCTGTTTTTTGTAACAAGTCATCTTATATTTATTCTTTCTTTTGTTCCACCATACCAGAGTACTGCTAGTTTAAGAACTGCTGTTTTATTTACTCATTGTAGTTCCTAGCACATCATGCCTACACACTAAGAACAAGTTAGAGGAAATAGTGCATGTGGCTCCCTAAAAAGACCAGATTTTAAGAGAAAGACTGATTAGTCAGCTCTGATTTGTAATTGACATGGCCTGCAATGAAGACCAAGCTGATCTTCTCGCATACCATTTGAAAGGTATGCTCTTCATGAACAAGAGCTGGTGAACCTCAAGGCTCCAGAGAATTGTCTTCAGCATAGAGGAAAGCAGGAGATATCCAGAGTAGAGCCACAAGCCTCCGTGACTACTGAGGCAATGGCAATGTCGTACAGATATAATTCAAAGACTGTAGCAGAACTTTTGGGAAGAACATTACATATTAGTTGACATATTATTCAGAAGAGTCACTAGCAGGTCTGCAAGGTAGAGGCCAGGGCAACATGCTGTGCTGTTCTTCCCCAGCTCCCTCATGTAAGGGAAATACACTATAACACACACCTGCTCTGCATTTTCTTATCATTCCAGCTTACATTTGGAAGTTAAAACTGTAATTTGACAGCATAGGAAGAAACAGAAGGCAAACAAGGAAAAAAGTCTTTTTCTGATCATAAGTGTTGTAACAGCATTCCTCCTCCTTCTTCATTTTCATACTGCCCTTTTGCAGCATTATTTATACAGTCAAAAAGCTTTTCCCACCCCAGCTCCACTGCAGAACTCCCACTGCCCTCCAGAATGCCCTGGTGTAGCAATTAGAGCTGCCTGCCAGATTATCATCATGCATCATGTTCACCTTGGCTCTCAAAAATAATCCAAGCTGTGATGAACAATCAATGTAGCCTTCTACATTTCCCAAGGTTTTCACTCCCAAAATATCATATTCCAGAAGAGTATAAAGGGCAGAAAGAATTGCTCAGCATCTGCAGACCTAAGCACACATTAAAAGCTCCCTCCATGTGTGAGTACCCAATGTATCCAATACTGGCTCTGAGACCAAGGGACTCAAACTACATATTGATCTGCAACTAATAGGTACCACCATTATACCTACACAGACTTTTACAAATTATGTATCCTCTAACACTTCAATATTTTGTACCACCTGAAACAAAATTTCCCTTGCAGTAACAGTTTCTATCCTCATTCTTCAAAAATTCAAGAATTTGATTGCTAAATGGTAAAACAACAAGAAAAAACTGAATACCCTGTATAATATCTGAATACTCTGAATAGTATCTGAACATCTCAAAACATGTTAAAAAGCATCACGCCCCAGCCTGAAAAAAGAAAGATGCTCCGTTTGGCTTAGTCAACTGCATGTTAATGCTACACATATTCTATGTGTAGCAAAACAAAATTTACACACCCTTCTATTTTTCTTCCCAGCCCCCTTTCCAAGAATATATATATATATATAGTAAAGAGACTCATCACTATTTGGTATTATTCTTGCTTTAAACTCCATGTTACTCAGCTCTGTATTGTACCTGAACTGTCTCATTTAAAGACACCTTTCCTATTCAGCACATTGGCTTCAACAAAATATCAAGCTCATTAACCCTACTTTCATCTTCGACAGAAATACAGAATATTTTAATCAGAAACAGTAGGAAGTGACCAGTTCTTTATTGCCTTCTAACTTAAAAGCCAGAAAGTCAGTACTGAAATGTATGAAGTACTATAAAGCAAAGCTCACTTAACTTTAAATGTGTGTTGTGTGTGCATATACACACACACAAAATTATATTGCCCAAAGGGGAAAAAAAACAAAGAAAACAACTTACAATGAAAACAGTAACAATATGCACTGAAAACAGTGTGACTAGGTTAGAGTGCATTTAAATATTTTACTTTCATTACAGTGCCCAACACTGAAATACTAGATTGACTCGATGCAATAAGGATTTTCACAGCAAAATATTTGTTCAACAAGTCAAGCGTTTTCTGCATTCTTCTGGAAGACTGGCTACAGAATAATCAAGGAGACACTGTGCAGGACACTGTTCAGGTCACAGTACAAGGCACTATATTAAGCCCCCAAACGACCATTATGGTGCCTACAAACTGGGCAGAAACTCAGGAGGTGGCAGCATGCCCAGTCTGGGGGTGCAGGAGAGTGGCCCCTGGTCCACCAGCTGAACTAGTGCTCCCAAGGCATCCCGTCACTCAGCTGGGCAGGCGGAAGCCTCCAGACTTATGCTATTTCAACAAAACTGTACCTGCCAGCACTCTCTAAATCTCGTGTTTTAGAGAGG